ATTTCCAAATAGGGTCCAGAATAAACAAGAAAGACATTCCTAGCACTAAATAACATTTCCTCTGTTCATTAGTCACGTCCCCACGCCCCTCTTACATTCTTTTGCTTTCCACGTTGAATTTTTATTCTCGCAAAAAAATAGAAGATTTACTGTTATGCAGACTACTGAATTAGTGTAAAAATGGTATAAATAATATTGGCGCACTTGTGAAAGAATATTAGACTCACCAGCTGACATGTATTGGACACTTAGCATGATTTGTTTACTTTTGAACTTTGATAAAAATCGAACATTTCCGCTACTTTGAGCTCAATTTCAAGGTACTTTTCATTGTAAAACCAGTCAAAATCATCTCAATTTCTGTAATATATCTTCCATTCTATAAAATGAGACCAGGAAAACTAGAATACAAGAATAAATACCATACGAAAATACAGTGCAAAGTCGATGTTTTAAACCAAAAACACTGTCAGAGTTGTTTTTTTTTCTCATTACGCACTGTGTGCTGCAGGATTTTTTTCATACTGCGCACACTGACCACAGACCCATTCTTTCATATGTAGGCCTACCAGCTTTCTCTTGCTAGATCTGAGGGTGCTAGAATTTATGTGTACCAGTACGTCAAAAACCCTGGCGTGTAAGCCGTACTAGTATGGCCGAAACCCCGAAAGGGTTAAAAAAAAACAAAAAATCTTTTCATAAGAATTTTTTTTTTTTTTTTTTAATTTCTTGACCCTGAGAACAAGTCTGGGAGAGGGCCTGTCAACCCTGAAAGGGTTAAAGACAGGCAGCATTTGTACATCAATCAATCAATTTATTTCCACATGATACATCACCTGTACAAAATTGGATGACATTACATTTCTCACACAGAAAGCCTCTTAACTATGCAGAGCATTTTGGGCAAGCTTAAACCTAACGTACATCTAGAAGGACTATAATAATCATAAGTGCTAAACCCAGAAGGATCATATAATGCTGCTAGGTGTATACAAGACAATACTGATTTTAACAATGTATATGAAGCAGATAAAATCACAAGTACTTGGGAATATGAACTCTTAGATTATATTAAGACTATCCCATTAATTCAAAACAAAATTTTAATGATGTGATGATATGATGTATATGTATAAGGGGTGGTGGCCAGGTTGTGTCACCAATCACCAGAGACAGTCGGGTCAGCTGGTCAAGTTTACCTGGGGTACACCTCACTTTTTTATCCATGAAAAAGTGGAATAAAAGTCAACTAAAATGCTGGGAGCAATGGGCTAGTAACCCCTTTTCCCATATAGCTTACTAAAAAGAAAATAGAAGAAAATCATCGAAGTGAGATGTTCGAATGTGCGTGGTTGTAATGCGAATGATACGAAAGAGAAGATTGTGGCTCTAAGTGAAACAAAGCTGAAGGGAGTAAGTTAGTTTCAGTGGGGGAGAAATAAATGGGATTAGGTCAGGGGTTTCTAATAGAGTTAGAGAAAAGGAAGGAGTAGCAATAATGTTGAAAGATTAGTTATGGCAGGAAAAGAGGGAATATAAATGTATAAATTCAAGGATTATGCGGAGTAAAATGAGGGCTGGATATGAAAAGTGGGTTACAGTAAGTGTTTATGCACCTGGAGAAGAGAGATTTTGGGAAATGTTGAGTATGTGGGAAGTTCTGAACCAAGTAAGAGTACTTGTGGTTGAAGATCTCAATGCTAGAGTAAAAATGTTGTGGAGGGAGTAGTAGGTAAATTTGTGTAGAAAGAGGTTTGGTAATAAGCAATACATATTTTATGAAAAAGTATAAATAAGTAAACAAGATATGATATAGCACATAATGAAAGTAGTTTGGTGGATAAAAGGTTGATGGGTAGGTTTCAGGATGTGCATGTTTAGAGAGAAGCAACAGAGATATCGGATCATTACTTGGTTATAGTTACAGTTAGATTAAGAGGTAGATGGGACAAAAGGAAAATGGCAACAGCAAGCAAGAGAGAGGTGAAAGTTTATAAACTAAGGGAGGAAGAAGCTAGTGTGAGTTATAAGCAACTACTTCATACTGTTTGAAAACAGAGCTGTAAATATTCAGTTATACACATCAATAAATGCTTCCCCCATTTTAAGACTGCTGTCTTAAATTTCAGACCCACATACAGCATATTTCCCCAAAAATTTCCAAAACAGTAGGCATCCTTTCTATGATACGGTACTATGTACCCCAAATGGCACTTCTTGCTCTTTACCACTGTCTCGTCTACCCTTACCTCGCTTATGGTATTTGTGCATGGGGTTCAACCACAGCAAATCACCTTAAACCTTTAATAATCCAACAAAAAGCTGCTGTGAGATTGATTACAAACTCCTGTGCCAGGAAACACCCCACTGATATTTAAGAGCTTGAACCTGCTTCACCCTCCTCTCAAACTCCTCCTTGGCACAATACACTTTTTGACATCACTCAGGTCCATCTCTCCCTGTGCAAAAATGCTGTGCACATAAAGGGCCCTAAGATCTGGAATTCATTGCCGGAACATACAAAAGGGCCCCTGCCTGCACACCAATTCAAGACTCTGCTTAGAAATCACCTCATCTCCCAAAATTAACCCTTTCAGGGATTCCAACGTACTAGTATGGCTTACGCACAAGGGCTGACGTACTAGTACGCTTAAATTCTAACGCCTTCAAATCTAGCGAGAGAAAGCTGGTAGGCCTACATACGAAAGAATGGGTCTATGTGGTCAGTGTGCACAGTATAAAAAAAAATCCTGCAGCACACAGTGCGTAATGAGAAAAAAAAACCTGACTTTTTGGTTTAAAACAGCAACTTTGCACTGTATTTTCATATGGTATTTATGGTTGTCCTAGGTAGTAGGTTGGTAGACAGCAACAGCCCAGGGAGGTACTACCGTCCTGCCAAGTGAGTATAAAACGGAAGCCTGTAATTGTTTTACACGATGGTAGGATTGCTGGTGTCTTTTTCCGTCTCATACACATGCAAGATTTCAGGTACGTCTTGCTACTTCTACTTACACTTAGGTCACACTGCACATACATGTACAAGCATATATAGTGGACCCCCGGTTTGCGATGGCATCGGTATCCGATAAATCTGGTATTCGATACATTTTAATGCAAAAATTTTGCCTCGGTTCCCGTTAAAAAACCCAGTATACGAGATTCGTCCGAGACGTGTCAACGTGTGGCCTGAACTGCCCCGTGTGTGCCAGTGTTTACAAGCCAGCCAGTGTGCTCGCATCTAAGGATACATTCGGCACATTCCATATTATCAGTGTTTTTGGTGCTTGTTTCTGCAAAATAAGTCACCATGGGCCCCAAGAAAGCTTCTAGTGCCAACCCTTCCAGAAAAAGGGTGCTAATGGCTATTGAAATGAAGAAAGAGACAATTGCAAAGTACGAAAGTGGAGAGCGTGTGTCGGAGCTAGCTAGGTTGTATACAAAACCCCAATCAACCATCGCTACTATAGTTACCAGGAAAACGGCAATCAAGGAAACTGTTGTTGCAAAAGGTGCAACTGTGATAACGAAACAGCGACTGCAAGTGTTAGATGATGTTGAGAGGCTGTTATTGGTGTGGATAAATGAAAAACAGAAAGCAGGAGATAGCATCTCTCAAGCGATCATTTGTGAAAAGGCTAGGCAGTTGCATGACGATTTGGTCAAGAAATTGCCCGCAACTAGTGGTGATGCGAGTGAATTTAAGGCCAGCAAAGGTTGGTTTGAAAGATTTAAGAATCGTAGTGGCATACAAAGTGTGATTAGGCATGGTGAGGCTGCCAGTTCGGACCAAAAAGTCCTAATGGAAGGGGATTCCCCTTCTAAACAATAAGTTCGACACTCTCCCCTCCTCCCATCCTATAAATCATCACCAGATCTTCATTAAAGGTAAGTGTTGTTGAGGTGGTTTGGTCATTTAGAGAGAATGGATCAAAGTAGAATGACACAGAGCGTATAAATCTGTAGGGAAAGGAAGGCGGGGTAGGGGTCGTCCTCAAAAAGGATGGAGGGAAAGGGTAAAGGAGGTGTTGTGGGCAAGGGGTTTGGACTTCCAGCAAGCGTGCGTGAGCGTGTTAGATAGGAGTGAATGGAGACAAATGGTATTTGGGACCTGATGATCTGTTGGAGTGTGAGCAGGGTAATATTTAGTGAAGAGATTCAGGGAAAACGGTTATTTTATATAACCGGACTTGAGTCCTGGAAATGGGAAGTACAATGCCTACACCCTAAAGGAGGGGTTTGGGATATTGGTAGTTTGGAGAGATGTATTGTTTATTTTTATACATATATACAGTGGACCCCCGCATAACGATCACCTCCGAATGCGACCAATTATGTAAGTGTATTTATGTAAGTGCGTTTGTACGTGTATGTTTGGGGGTCTGAAATGGACTAAACTACTTCACAATATTCCTTATGGGAACAAATTCGGTAAGTACTGGCACCTGAACATACTTCTGGAGTGAAAAAATATTGTTAACCGGGGGTCCACTGTACTTCTAAACTGTTGTATTCTGGGCACCTCTGCAAAAACAGTGATTATGTGTGAGTGAGGTGAAAGTGTTGAATGATGATTAAAGTATTTTCTTTTTGGGGATTTTCTTTCTCTTTGAGTCACCCTGCCTCGGTAGGAGACGGCCGACTTGGAGAAAAAAAAAAATGCGCACACAAAAATGAGCAGGGTTTGAATGAAATCCTATGGTTAGTTTTCAATTTAGGAATAGTGTGACAAGAAAAAACGTTAATTATCAAAGCTATTGGGAGAATATCCATCAGTAAAAGAGTTGTGCAATCGTATCAGAAAATTTAATGGACTTAGTGCACTGTTTCTGGATGTTGTTCAGCCACAGATTTTAACTGTTAAATCCAAAAGCCATTAAATTGGGGTCTATTAAGCTGAGGTTTTTCTACTACAAATTATGGCTTCAGTCTCAATTTTTTTTGTTCCTAAATTAATCACTAAAAGTTATCACATTTCTTAATATTGTAATTCTGTTTATATCTTACCTTTCTCAGCAAAGTCATTTAACCTCCCTGGAGTTGCAATAACAATTTCTGACTTGGTATTTATCTTCCGAATTTGCTGATGCTTATCCCCCTGACCATAAATGCACACACTGAAAAGAATATGGAACAATTATTACTGCATTCAATAGCATAGCCCCTCATGGAAGGTTCCTTGATGTTGGTGAGGGGCTCTTGATTTAGGGAATTGGATCTGTGCTCCAGTTCCCCGAATTAAGCCTGAATGCCTTCCACATCCCCCCTCCCCTGGGCGCTGTATAATCCTACGGGTTGAGCGCTTCCCCCTTGATTATAATAATAATAATAATCAATAGCATAGCACTATACCCATAGAGATCATACAAAGCCTAGGGAAAGAAAGTTCAGGTCCAAGCAGTGCCAGATTTAGGTGGTGGGGGGACCGGGGCCCAGTTCAGTTGGGGAGCCCGGGGCCCAGCTCGGTGGGGGGCCCGGGGCCCAGTTTGGTGGGGGGATGCCCGGGGCCCAGTTTGGTGGGGGATGCCCGGGGCCCAGTTTGGTGGGGGATGCCCGGGGCCCAGTTTGGTGGGGGATGCCCGGGGCCCAGTTTGGTGGGGGATGCCCGGGGCCCAGTTTGGTGGGGGATGCCCGGGGCCCAGTTTGGTGGGGGATGCCCGGGGCCCAGTTTGGTGGGGGATGCCCGGGGCCCAGTTTGGTGGGGGATGCCCGGGGCCCAGTTTGGTGGGGGATGCCCGGGGCCCAGTTTGGTGGGGGATGCCCGGGGTCCAGTTTGGTGGGGGATGCCCGGGGTCCAGTTTGGTGGGGGATGCCCGGGGTCCAGTTTGGTGGGGGATGCCCGGGGCCCAATTTGGTGGGGGGGGTCCCATGCATTAAAAAGGTCTAACTTTTAAGCTTCTCCTTGGAAAACTTTCACCACTCTCAATATACATAGCATTCTCTTGAGATGAAGAAATGAAACAATAAATTGGATGTATAGAATATTTTAGCACACTTTCGGTTCATTTGCAAGTGTAACTCAAAAGTAATGTGCAGACTTATGAGGAGTTATCTTCAGATAAAATATTATAAGCCAGGTACATTCCGTGCTTTTCTGATGGAAAAGTCTCTGATGACTCCATCAAAATCTAACGAGTGCAGAATGTCAGATTCTATGCTCATGACCATCAGGTTCACAAGCCGCCCTTGTATCACGCTCGTTCATATTCGGTTCTCACTACCACACTGTTGTTCAGATACTGACCACGATCAAGCAGTCATTCACACTGCAACACCCTGCAAACCCAGGATGATGTGCTGTGAATCATCCTTGCATCATGTAGCTGATGACGCACTTGCACCAATGATGTAACAAGAGAGATCAGATGACTCAACATGACAATCCCACCATGCATACATTTTTTTTTTTTTTTTTTTTTTTTTTTTTTGCAATCTACTCAATTCTTGGTATAATGTGTGTCATATTTTTCATCATTTGGAGAGGGGGCCCTTCTGGTGGAGAACCCTCCCCTAAATCCAGCCCTGGGTCCAAGAGAACTTGCATAAAAGAATTTTTACAAAATTACAATTCTGTTACTGTATTTGACGTATGGTAAATTACATAATTTTTTATCGAGCACAGTACTGTAATAATGATGCTGTGGAATGCCTGTGAAAGATAGCTGTTTCCTTCTTTGTGTTACCCTACAGTGATGAGAAGTGGGTGATGTTGGTGATTGTCTGTGTGAACCTACCTTGCAGAAGGCCTATGTGTATTTCTCCAATCATATTAGATTTTAAAACTATTTTTCTTGCCCAGAGCAAGCTACAGGTTGCAACTGCTCCTATTACAGTAACTCAGCATGCTATCATAACCCAGGACAGCACAATCACTACTATTCAAATTTAATACTGTACAATTGTGTTATACAATTGTTATACAATATGTAACCCTGAGGAAAAAAATAGGGTTATGTTCCTGCCACCACTACCAAGAAAAAAAATTAATTTCTCAATTTCTTGTAGCTGTTGTAGCTTGTTAATTCAGAAATACGTGGAGCGGGTTGATGTGGCTTTACTATGCACAGTGAGATGTGGTGAGGTTTGTAGTCACAAAATATAATAAATGTATTTTTTTTTTAATCACATTGGCTGTTTCCCACTGAAGCAGGGTGGCCCAAAAAGAAAGAAAAACCCAAAAAGAAAAATACTATCATCATCATTCAACACTTTCACCATCACTCATACATAATCACTGTCTTTGCAGAGGCACTTAGATATGACAGCTTAGATGTCCCTCCAAACTGTCAACATCCCAAACACCACCTTCAAAGTGCAGGCATTGTACTTCCCATTTCCAGGACTCAAATCTTGCTAACCAGTTTCCGGAATTCCTTCACAAAACATTACCCTGCTCACACCCCAACAGCTCGTCAGGTCCCAAAAACCATTCATCTCCATTCAATGCTAACAAGCCCACAAAACTCCCTCACCCACAAAACCTCCTTTACCCCCTCCCTCCAAAATTTTCGAAGACAACCCCTACCCCACCTTCCTTCCCCTACAGATTTATGCACTCTCCATTCTCTCTAAATGACCAAACCACCTCAACAACCCCTCTTCAGCCCTCTGATTAATACTTTTAGTAACCACACCTACTCCTAATTTCCACACTCCGAATTCTCTGCACACTATTTACACAAAACATTGCCCTTAGACAGGATATCTCCACTGCCTCCAGCTACCTGTTTGCTGCAGAATTTACAATTCAAGCGTAACACCTACATAAGTGTTGTACCACTATACTTTCAAACATTCCCTTCTTTGCCTCCATGGATAATGTTTCTTGTCTCCACAGATACCTCAATGCACCACTCACCTTTTTTTCTTCATCAATTCTATGGTTAACCTCATCTTTCATAAACCCATCCGCTGACAAGTCAACTCCCAAATATCTGAAAACATTCACTTCATCCATACTCCCTCTCTCCATTGTGATACCCAATTTTTCATTATCTAAATCATTTGTATTTGATCCCCATAATATAATCCCACCCCTCTCCCCAACACCCTAGCATTTACTTCTTTTACAACCCCATCTATTTTTTTATTTATTATCACACTAGCCGATTCCCACCAAGGCAGGGTGGCCCGAAAAAGAAAAACTTTCACCATCATTCACTCCATCACTGTCTTGCCAGAAGGGTGCTTTACACTACAGTTTTTAAACTGCAACATTAACACCCCTCCTTCAGAGTGCAGGCACTGTACTTCCCATCTCCAGGACTCAAGTCCGGCCTGCTGGTTTCCCTGAATCCCTTCATAAATGTTACTTTGCTCACACTCCAACAGCACGTCAAGTATTAAAAACCATTTGTCTCCATTCACCTCCTATCAAACACGCTCACGCATGCCTGCTGGAAGTCCAAGCCCCTCGCACACAAAACCCTCCTTTACCCCCTCCCTCCAACCTTTCCTAGGCCGACCCCTACCCCCCCCTTCCTTCCCCTACAGACTGATACACTCTTGAAGTCATTCTGTTTCGCTCCATTCTCTCACATGTCCGAACCACCTCAACAACCCTTCCTCAGCCCTCTGGACAACAGTTTTGGTAATCCCGCACCTCCTCCAACTTTTCCCAAAATACAATTCTCTGCATTATATTCACACCACACATTGCCCTCAACATGACATCTCCACTGCCTCCAGCCTTCTCCTCGCTGCAACATTCATCACCCATGCTTCACACCCATATAAGACGTTGGTAAAACTATACTCTCATACATTCCCCTCTTTGCCTCCAAGGACAAAGTTCTTTGTCTCCACAGACTCCTAAGTGCACCACTCACTCTTTTTCCCTCATCAATTCTATGATTCACCTCATCTTTCATAGACCCATCTGCTGACACTCCCACTCCCAAATATCTGAATACGTTCACCTCCTCCATACTCTCCCCTCCAATCCTAAAATATCAATCTTTCATCCCCTACATCTTTTTGTTATCCTCATAACCTTACTCTTTCCTGTATTCACCTTTAATTTTCTTCTTTTGCACACCCTCCCAAAATTCATCCACCAATCTCTGCAACTTCTCTTTAGAATCTCCCAAGAGCACAGTGTCATCAGCAAAGAGCAGCTGTGACAACTCCCACTTTGTGTGTGATTCTTTATCTTTTAACTCCACGCCTCTTGCCAAGACTCTCGCATTTACTTCTCTTACAACCCCATCTATAAATATATTAAACAACCACGGTGACATCACACATCCTTTTCTAAGGCCTACTTTTACTGGAAAAAATTTCCCTCTTTCCTACATACTCTAACTTGAGCCTCACTATTCCTCATAAAAACTCTTCACTGCTTTCAGTAACCTACCTCCTAACCCATACACTTGCAACATCTGCAACTTGCCCCCCTATCCACCCGTCATACGCCTTTTCCCCAAAACCATAAATGCCACAAAGAACCTCTTTAGCCTTATCTAAATACTGTTCACTTATATGTTTTCACTGTAAACACCTGGTCCACACACCCCCTACCTTTCCTAAAGCCTCCTTTTCCCTCTGCTATCCTATTTTCCCCTCTTACTCCCTTTAATTCTTTCAATTATAACTCTACCATACACTTTACCAGGTTACTCAACAGAAATTATCCCCCTAAAATTTTGCACTCTTTTATCCCCTTTGCCTTTATAAAAAAGGAACTATGCATGCTCTCCCGCCAATCCCTAGGTACCTTACCCTCTTCCATACATTTATTAAATAATTGCACCAACCACTCCAAAACTATATCCCCACCTCTTTTAACATTTCTATCTTTATCCCCTCAATCTCAGCTGCTACCCCCTTTCATTTACCTACTGCCTCCGAACTTCCCCCACAACTCACAACTGGCTTTTTCCTCCCCTCCTACAAGATGTTATTCCTCCTTGCCCATACACGAAATCACAGTTTTCCCTTCTTCACAACATTTAACAATTCCTCAAAATATTCCCTCCATCTTCCCAATACCTCTAACTCTCCATTTAATAACTCCCTCTCCTATTTTTAACTGACAAATCCATTTTTCTCTGGGCTTTCTAACTTGTTAATCCACTCCAAACTTTTTTTTATTTTCAACAAAATTTGTTGATAACAC